ATTCTCCCATAGGAGCCCTAAATAATACACAGTCCTCATTTAGAAAAGTTAGAAATGGAAAATCACTCCTACTGTCACACTAATCATTTTTTCCTCCTAAAATATTCTTTTGACCCCTATAACAGCATGAGTTAGTGAGGAGAAAAACAACATAAAAGCCAGCACCCACCACCCACGACCCACCTCAACCTCAGAAAAGCAGATCACTTCTGAATTGCCTTGAGATGGTACTGGCAAGTATCTCCCATAGTAGAGGGAGCTTGAGAGGGAGAAAACAGACAAATTCATTAAGGAGAGATTTTTTGAAGCAATGAGAGTTTTGTTAGGCTACAGGCTAGTAAAGATTTCATCATGCAGCAGTATAATGTAATTTAGAAAATAATTATTCTTAAAATGTTCCAAAATTAATTGTGGTAATGATTGTACAATTCTTCTTGATATGGTAGAACTATAGAATTGTATGATCTGTGGATGAAGTGCCAATAAACCTATTTTTTAAAAAAATTATTCTTGACTTACACCTAAATGTGGCAGAGTGGAATCTATGTCCGCTGAAATCTTGCAGACTAAATGGAGAGGTGTCTGGTACGGTTTTCTCCCTTCATCATTCTTCAGGAAATAGAGATGGGGGAAACTTCAGGAGGTGCTTCATTTTGTTCTTCAGTGCATGTGCAGAATGTGCAGTCTATCCTTCATTTTTTCTTGATATATCGCAGACTCTTCCTGCAGTGTTCTTCTATTTTATTTGTATTTAAATTTTAAGCTATTTTTTCATTCGAATGTGAAAGTGCTTGATTTTTATGCTTTTTTTTCTTTTTCTAAAATCCACATTTAAGGCTATGAATTGCCCTTTCATTACAACTTTAGTAGCATCCTAAACATCTTGATATGATTTCCTTATCATTTATTTGAACCCGTGTTCTAATTTTTATTGATTCATGAACTATTTAAAATTATTTTTTTCTTATTTCTCATTTCATGTGTTATTTCTGTGTACTTTTATGCTATTGATTTCTACCTTTATTCCACTAAGGTCAAAGAAATTAGTCTGTATCATTTCAACACCTGGAACTCTGACCCAGTAAATGGCCAATGTTGTTCAATTATACTTTTGTACTGTGTGTGCTTGAAAAGAATGTGAATTCTATATTTCTATATTTGATCTGAGTGTCTTAAACATGCCTACTACTAAATTATGCTGTTAATTCTGTAGTCCAAATCATCTTACTGATTTTTATATGCATATGATATCAGCTATTGCGAGAGGTATGCTAAACTCTCTCAATCTATGACTGTGGAGTTTGTTTCTTCTTTAGGTTTGTTGGTATTTATATTTTTTAAATTTGTTTAAATATTAATAATTGGTTATATGTTTTAAAGCTATTATCTTGGGTGTATATTTAAGATTATCATATTTTACTGCTATATATCTATCATACTTTTGTCATTAGTGAAAGTCCTCATTAACCTCTAGTTATGTTTTGTGTGTTTATTTTTCCTTAAAATCTACTGTCATAGTTTCTCAGGGCTATAACAAAATACCATAAAGTGGGGTTTTTATTTCCAGTTTCAGAAAGTTAATCTGAATTTAGGATGCTGGAAATATGATGCTTTTTCTTTGTCCACTCTAAAGAAATATGGTTCTTAATCTCTTTCACTTTTGGGGCATCTTTTGGAATTCCTTGACTTGTAGCTAAATCCTCACATGACATCTCCCCATTAAGTGTCACTCTCCTTTTTATAAGACACAACTCTGAAGGGATTAAGACTATTACCCACCCTGTACTGGTATTATTTAACTTGCAAAAAATACTACATTTCCCATAACAAGCTCATATTCACAGATACAATACTTAGAATTTCAATATACAATTTTGAGGGACGCAATTCAGTCCATAATGACTACTTTGTTTATTATTATGAATTTACAGGTTTCTTTTGGCTAGTGCTTGCTTGAAAAATCACTTTTCATTCAACTTTCTGTTTATTTTTACTAAAGATGTGTCTTTTGTAAGTAGCGTATAATTGTGCATATATGTGTACCATAAATCTGTTTTAAGTTTTGTCAAAAAATAAATGTCTTAATTGCAATATATACCTTAATGGCATTGCTGAAATTGATTGCTTACTTTGGTTAAACTATGCCACCCAACCATTTGCTTTCCATTTATTCCATCTATATTCCATTTTTCTACATATTTGCTTTAATTTAAGTTGACTAAATATGCTATGCCTCTTCTCCATTATTTAGCTAGCCCACTTCATGATTATAGTAGAGGTATCAATATGTGTCCTTGATCAATTAATTTTAGTATAAATCAATATTCTAACATTTCCATGACCTAAGGACACTTTAACTCTCTTTACTCCCTCCCAATATATGAACTAGTGTGCACTATGTCATTGTTAGGTGCCTTGGGGGCAACTCCCACTCACAGAAACCTTATATACAACAGGCTGCCCAGTCCTGCACCATCCTCACAATTATTGTTAGGTTTGAACCCATTGTTACAGCCATTATGTTAATACGTCTCCTTGATAATCTTCCCCCTTTTTTTGACTTTCTTTTACCAAGTATGATGTCCTTTTCTAGAGGCATATCCTTTCTATGTCCAAAGTACATGATATGAAGTTATTAGTAATTCAAATGCATCAATTCTTCTGCGGTTGGATTTATTCATAGTCCAACATTCACATGCATATGAGTTATTGAAAAATTCAATGTCTTGGATTAGATGTGCTTTAGTTATCAAAGTGAGATGTTTGTTTTTTAATACTTTAAATAGGCTTTATGCAACAGATTTGCCCAATGCAACATATATATTTTCCATATATACCTATTTTTTTCATATATTACCTATATA